ATTTATATGTATTTCTTTATAGGCATATATTTAATATGCATTTATTTACAGGTATATATTTAATATATATTTATTTAATACGTATTTATTTATACATATAAATTTATATGTATATATTTAACATGGATATATTTATATATATAAATTTATATGTATATATTTAATATGTATTTGTTTATAGGTATATATTTAATGTGTATATATATAATATGCATTGATTTATAGGCATATGTATTTAATACATATTTATTTATACATATAAATTTATATGAATATATTTATATGTATATATTTAATGTGTATATACTTGATATGTATTTATTTATGGGTATATATATGCATTTATTTAAAATTTATTTATTGATACATATAAATTTATATGTTTACATTTAGTACTTATATATTGATATGTATAACTTTATATTTATATATTTAATATGTATATATTTCTTTATCTGGCTCTATGACGTGTGTTACATCCATATATTCCCATTATTTGGATCACCAAAGGTCACACCTTTGGTTCCACAGGAGCTGCCCCGATCTCTGTCTGAAATACCGGGAATTCTCCCAAAATCCTCAAAATCCCAGAAAATCTGGATGATAACGCAGGCAAACCAATGGCCTTGGGTTCCAAAAATGCTGGTTATTGGATTTGTAGAACCCAACTACAAATGGTTATTGTAGAGTTCCGTCAGGAAAATCCCAGAAATGGTTTAGTTGAGGTGTTGGGGTGTGGGTTGGACCCAAAGATCTCAAAAGTCTCTTCCAGACCTTGTGATTGTGTGAAATCACGGAATGGTTGGGGCTGGGAGGGAGCTCCTCAAAATCCCAGAAAATCTGGATGATAACACAAGCAAACCAATGGCTTTGGGTTCCAAAAATCCTGGTTATTGGATTTGTAGAACCCAGAACTCTACAAATGGTTATTGTAGAGTTCTGTCAGGAAAATCCCAAAAATGGTTTAGCTGAGGTGTTGGGGTGTGGGTTGGACTCAAAGATTTTGAAAGTCTCTTCCAGACCTTGTGATTGTGTGAAATCAGGAAATCATGGAATAGTTGGGGCTGGGAGGGAGCTCCTCAAAATCACAGAAAAATCCCAGAAAATCTGGATGATATCGCAGGCAAACCAATGGCCTTGGGTTCCAAAAATGCTAGTTACTGGATTTGTAAAACACAACTATTTGTAGAACTCTACAAATGCTTATTGTAGAGCTCTGTCAAGAAAATCCTAGAAATGGTTCAGTTGAGGTGTTGGGGCGTGGGTTGGACCCAAAGGTCTTGAAATTCTCTTCCAAATCTTGTGATTGTGTGAGATCAGGGAATCACGGAATGGTTGGGGCTGGGAGGGAGCTCCTCAAAATCCCAGAAAATCTGGATGATAACACAGGCAAACCAATGGCTTTGGGTTCCAAAAATCCTGGTTATTGGATTTGTAGAACCCAACTCTTTGTAGAATCTACAAATGGTTATTGTGGAGTTCCGTCAGGAAAATCCCAGAAATGGTTTAGTTGAGGTATTGGGGCGTGGGTTGGACCCAAAGATCTTGAAAGTCTCTTCCAAATCTTGTGATTGTGTGAAATCAGGGAATCATGGAATGGTTGGGGCTGGGAGGGAGCTCCTCAAAATCCCAGAAAATCTGGATGATAACACAAGCAAACCAATGGCCTTGGGTTCCAAAAATCCTGGTTATTGGATTTGTAGAACCCAACTATTGTATTTCCATCAGGAAAATCCTAGAAATGGTTCAGTTGAGGTGTTGGGGGCGTGGGTTGGACCCAAAGATCTTGAAATTCTCTTCCAAATCTTGTGATCCTGTGATTGTGTAAAATCAGGGAATCACGGAATGGTTGGGGCTGGGAGGGAGCTCGGAGCTCATCCATGGGCAGGAACCACCCTGAAACCCCAAAACCCACCCTGACCTGGGCACTGCCAGAGACCCCAAACCCCTCTGGGTGAATCCTGGAGCTGGTGAAGCTCCAGAACTCCTGGAAATGTTGGGATTTTGGGATTAGGGTCGCTCATAGGGCGTTTCTCGTTGCAGTTTGTCCCTGCTGGAGGAGTTTGACTGCAGCTGCAACGAGCTGGAGTCGCTGCCCTCCACCATCGGGTACCTGCACAACCTGCGCACTTTGGCYGTGGACGAGAACTTCCTGCCCGAGCTGCCCCGCGAGGTGAGGCCATTCCGGGGAGGAATTCCGGACTGAGGGTGCTCTGGGAATTCCAACATCCCGGGGGAATTGCGGTGTCCTGTGGGAATTGCGATGTCCTGTGGGAATTGCGGTGTTCTGTGGGAATTTTGGTGTTCTGTGGGAATTCTGGTGCCCTGTAGGAATTCCAGTATCCCATAGGAATTGCAGTGTCCTGTGGGAATTCCAGTGTCCTGTGGAATTCTGGTGTCCTGTGGGAATTTCGGTGTTCTGCGGGAATTTCGGTGTCCTGTGGGAATTCGGGTGTCCTGTGGAAATTCTGGTGTCCCACAGGAATTTCAGTGTCCTGTAGGAATTTCGGTGCCCTGTAGGAATTTCAGTATCCCATAGGAATTCCAGTGTCCTGTGGGAATTCCAGTGTCCCATGGGAATTCCAATGCCCTGTGGGAATTCCAATGTCCTATGGGAATTCCAGCATCCTGTAGGAATTGCAGTGTCCTGTGGGAATTCCCATGTTCTGTGGGAATTCCAATGTTCTGTGGGAATTCCAGTGTCCTGTGGGAATTCTGGAGTTCTGTGGGAATTTTAATGCTTCTCTGGGAATTCTGGTGTCCTATGGGAAGTCCGGTGTCCTGTAGGAATTGCAGTGTCCCATGGGAATTCCAGTGTTCTGTGGGAATTC